CACGCACGCACGCACGCACGCACGCACGCACGCACGCACGCACGCACACAATATCTACTATATATTCTAAATAGACTATATAGAATATAGATGGTCGAAACTTATTATCCATAAACATGCTAGAAGATATATTTTATATAATTAAAATACATTATCCGTCATAAAAATATTGAATCTTAGTATTAATGTAAATAATTGCACAATATGCAACTGATTAATTGTAAATTTCAAAATATTAAAAAGAAGTTTGTTCCTCACAGATTTAAAGCAACAAGCATAAACAAAAATTCAAAGAACGTTGTTTCAATATTGTTTCAACTTTTTTTTATGATGAATAATGTACTTAATTATTATTTCTGTCAACGTTGCTATTACTTGTGTTAAATACTATTATGTCTAAATATTAAAATCTGAGCACGATCCTCGAAAACATTCATTTAAATAAATGCTTAAAGATCAAAAATATGAATTGTTTTCGGTAAATAAAATCATCTTTCGCGGTAACATAGAGAAGATTCTTGGATTTTCGCGACCGCATACCGATGACATAAGGATGAGAGGTAGAGAGTAAGATTCCTAACTTTCGTCTTGCGCGTCAGAAAATTCTAACCAAGACGTGGATGGATGGTGAAGTCTTGAAACTCGGTATCAAAGATGAAAGTCTCATCACGATTCTTCCTCGAAGGAGGAAGAGAAAAGGAAGAAAACAAGTCGCAAGTTGCGTGAAGAACTTTCAACAATTAAAATTTATCAATTTTTCATCCAAATCTCTGATAACAATATAATCCGGTAAGCAGGAAAGATGAACTATTTTCATACTCGAAAACGCCCCATTATAAAACTGGAGCAACGAGTTAGTATTTGAGTGATTAATGACGACGCAAAGGAGTAAATGAAACTTCAGCTAGTAGAAAATGAATAAACGTGATAAATAATTATTCGAATTAGTGCTTCTATTCGTGTCAAGGTTTATCTTTATTATAAATATTTTGGGTCATGATGTTTTCTGCTCCACTTTCGTATAACAAAAATATTCGCAATAGTGTAGTGAACAAAAAATATTTTGTAAAGTACTATAATGATAATATTATAATATTTATATTAATAAAAATTGTTACGTTCTTGATAGCTTCCATTGAAAGAGCAAACCTCCGAGTTCCCATATTATAAATAAGAGGAAGATCCACTTGATATTAAATAAGAGAAATCTTAACTGTCGTACTGTAACCATGTATTATTTTAAGTAATTAAAATTATTTTCTACATTCAGTTTTCTTCTGATCCACGAATATATTTTCATTGATAAAACGATTTATTTGATCAGCCATCTTACTCGGACAACAAATTATTACGTACAGTGGATGTAGAAAGTATTCGTACACCGATCAATTTCCAAAAAAAAAATTGTGTAAAATTGTAATTTATTAACTTATTTTTTATAAACAATGACATTTTACATATTCTCGGAAATCTCTAGAATAGATAAAATCAAAAAAAAAAAAAAAATAACTATTTATGTAAGTTGCGAAACTAACAAGAAAAAAAATAATTAATCGATAGAAATGTTGGAGCAATAAATATTCACGCAACTGTTAAAAAGTACTTTACTGGAAATTTGATGTTTTCTAATTCGTACGGAGCGATAAACTAATGTGTTTACGTTACAAACTCTGCTGTAAATGGTTTGTCATAAGAATCGTACAAATACTTATTACTTCTATACTTTTACCCATTTTTCACATTTTTTTGTTAATTTCACAAATTATATTAACTAGTAAATGTTGCTTGGACTATAACCAATTTAGAGACTTCCGAGAATATGTAAAATATTATTGATTACAAAAAAAGAAGTTAAGAAACTACAATTTCACACAAAAGTTTTTTGGGAAATTAATCGATATACGAATACATTCTACACCCACTGTAGCGAATTCGAATTAGTCATTCGAATAATATTTATTTGCATCGAATATCTAAATAAAATATTGAGCAATATTTGAAAGAAGTACTGTTATTACACTTTTCTTGAGACTCAATACAGAAAATGTTTTCGATCAAGGAATTACTTGCTCAACAGGTTAAAGAAAATCCCTTCGGGGATATTGATTTTCGCTCACCAGCAGAGGGATTTGAGGGATCCGTCCCAATTCGTCGAGATATTTCGTTTTTCGATGTCCTGGGTGATTTTCTGATATTTCTTGAAACAGAGTTCGTACGTGGGCTGCACCTTTTGCATGCATGGCGCGTGTTTCAAGAATTCTGCAAACAGAAAATACAAAATCGATGATTACAAAAATTATCTCTCTGCTATACAACACACGTATCATATGTGCTCTCATTTCTTTGCTAACATTTGTAGTATGTATTGGATGTATGTGTATAGAGTGTAACGAAACTTAATGTCCAATTCTATTCAGGTCTGGAGCAGTTCTGATACAAAATACAAAAGCACGTTCCAGCCAAGGTCTAATGAGTATTAGTTCCAGTCCAAATGAGGTTCATTCAAGTTCCTGAATTAAAGAGTTCTGTACGTTTTCTTGTGGCAGTCTACCAAATCCTAATCTAGCCTCCAGCGTTTACAGCGAAACCTGTACAATGAATGTTTGTAAGCTTTGTAGTCTACATAATCTGTATTATTAAAATTGATTTCTGATTTTGCTTGACTCGCAATCGAATAGCAGATCACATTTATATGTGTATGTACCACAAATTGTTGCACTCAAAATTGTTTAAAAATGGTCCAACAGTTCTAATTGATAGAACTATTACTTTAATCAATCAGGAACTATAAAACTATTGAAAATGAAGTCAGAACTCTTAATTATTTACGAGATTTCACAAAGTGAGCTGTCAGCTTCACACAGACCTTTAAACAAGTGGAATTTCGTTTCGCACTGCTTATTAATATCTAATAAATATCTAATTAATAAATTATTATTTGTACATTTTATATTACTATATATTTTTACAAGACTGACAATATACTCTACGTTTAAACCTTGATTCTTTGGCTACTGTTTTATTGGATACATTTATTATTGTGATAGTAAACATCGTTTAGTTCAAAGTGATTATTTTTATATTAAAAATTTACTATATCGAAGAAATTCGACTGCGTAGTCCCTGTAAGTAAACATTATAACATCGATTACTCGTTCCTCAAGTCAATTACCAATATTGACTGGCAGGAAAGCGAAAAACCACACCCACGTGCGTCAGGAATCAGTTTTACGTTCTTCTCGCTCCCCTAACGACTATCGATATCCGCGTATGTAGTTTCGACTCGATGCGCAGCAATTTAAAAATTAAGATTGAACTCGCATGGTCGATTTGCGAAGGCGAATAAGCTCGATCGTTCGAGCATCGATATCGTGCTCATTACGACTAGCGTTTCCAGTATTGCTCTTAACGAGGCGCTAATCGCATAATCGATTTCGAGATAGTGGTACTGATCGATCGGCCACGCGGACCGATACGATTCGATGACCACTCGACTGAATTACACACTGCGTACCCCGCGAGAACTGTTTAACACTAAACCTATAAACGTTTCGTGTATGCCTATTTCTAACGCGACTGGCTTTAAAAGAATGTCATATTGTTTATTGTTAAGTGCAACGATATTTGATTTGGTAGTGGATTAAGTAACAAATGAAACTAGTTTTTACAAAATGGCAAAACGAAATCTGTTATCTTCATTTTATTAGAAACGTGAAACGAAAATGATTGAGTTACGAAGAAATTGTGTGAAGAGAAGACAAAGTGAAAGAGATGAAATCGAACAAATTAAAAATGCAAAAACGTAAGTGAAGATAAGGAAGTATATAAACAAAATAGAGAAAAAGAGCATTAACATAGGATAAAGCCTCATAAAAGAGCAATGAGTAAAACGATTCACTGAGTTACTAGAAGGAAAGAGTTCAATTATATTGTGTTATTTCATTTAATTGAAGTTGATTGAAAATTGGATGTTGGAGTTCTTTTGCAAATTATTGCATTCTAAAGGCTATATTTTACACTACATATTTTTTGCATTTGAAACAGATTTTCGTACTTGTGTTATTTTTAAAATATCTGACTTGGCAAATTTTCTTCAGAAGGAAATCTTTTTTCTGTTGCTCTCCTTGAAATTCGGCGGCAAATTCTTCGGTTAACCGAACGAGAAATTGCTGTCTCGATATTTTCTAAACTAAAAGTATCGAAGAAAACCTGGAGAGGACATTTACGAAATTTCGATTTCACGCTATACTTTCTTGCCATTTGATCCGGCATGTCTATACCAAATTTACTACTAGAATAAAATTGAAATATTTCAGATACTCGTTTATCATTTTCTTTAATCTTTATGAATTTGTGTTTAAAGCTTAGCATAGTTATAAAGATGAATGAAAAAATAATTACAAAGATTTTATTCCACGACAACAGACAATCGAATAATAAAAATATGTTTATTTTCTGCCAACATTTCATTCAAATAGGATTAACTCCTTCATACTAATCTTTATAATGAACAACAACGAAACTATTCTCTACCCTTCATATAGCTTTAAAGCATTTGTTTGAACGAATGCTGTGTTAAGGATTGCGACATCGCAACACCTCGTTTTACGAAGATTCTGTGAGTCGATAAAAACGTAATTTTGTAAAGTACTTCTAGCACGAGACAGTAAAACAGGTGCGTTGTGGAGAAACAATTACTTAGAACACTTTGTGTAATAGGACAGCGTTTCCTTGTATATCTTCGTTTAAACATGTGTATCAAACGTTGAAATGAAAAAAACGAGTAACTGTCGTTATTAACATGTACAAATACGATTGACAATCGTAAAATTCCCAGGAACATCAAATATCAAGTCAAACATACGTAAAGTGGGTAAATCACAGTGTTGACAATTTTTAAGATAAATCTATACTATTTATTTCGAATTATTGTCAAGATGTGCTCGAATTATGATTTGATTGAAATTTAATAATATATTATATTACTTATAGAATATCTCTGAGTTCCATTTGTATACTTTCCAAACAGGTACAAAGACAATTTTTGAATTTTATAGCACTATATTGACTAATCATTATTGCATTTTTTCTAATAAGACGAAAAAATATATAATGTATACATACATATAATAGTTAAAGAATGTAATTATTTACAATGTTCATAAGTGTATATTTACAAATTAATGTAAAAATATAATTACTTCCGAAACTTGTCAAAAAAAGCCATCAACATAGATTGAAACAAAAGAAACTGTGTTCATGTAATATAGTCAGTTAGCGTATAAAAAATATGCTGTACATCTACGAAGGGAAATAAGAAAAGGAAAAGAACAACTGAAAAGAACAGATTGACAAGAAAATTTATGAAAATGAATGTCCAAATAGAAACGATAAAATTGTACTTTCTTTGCACAAGAGGATTTCCTCCTATCAAAGTTCATCCAAAAAAGAAATAAAAGTAAAAGAATCATATGTAAGTATTATTTTCAAAAACTTTCCACGTAATTTCATCGTATATGTAATTCAATTAAATTAATGAAAAATATATACAATCAATAAATACGGTAAAAAGTATTCCACACCTTCAATCCGAAGCTTATGGAAAATGCTCGATTTATCGTGTAATAATACAATGATGCTCCAAAACGCGAAGCTTTGCATTAACATATTATACAATGATGGGAGCAGAAATTAGTCTTGAATACACGAATGAATATTCCCGCAAACATTGCAGGATTCGGGCAAGGCTGCGTGTAATTGAGCAAATAAATGAACGTCACGCGCAAGGATGCATTATTCAGTTCTCCAGGGTGCGGGGGATTCACGATGAAGTTGCGACGAGAAAATTGGGAAACGAGGCGGAACGAAAATACAAAATTTCATAAAGTGTGACCAATTTGAGTAAAATTGGCCAAGATTAAACTTGTGTGGACGATGAACGTTATCAGATTGGAACCCTACGGAATATGGGGGGTACTCTGCCTCATTATTACAGGGAATTTCATCGATGCATCTACATCTACAAACCGTGTATAATCTGCACAGGCTAAATTCACTGGCCATTAGAGTCAATAATGTATTCGGCACTCTCGAAATTACAGACATACATACAGCGATAATGTAGTCACACGCAGCACTCAAAACTAAACGATAATTTCAGAAAACTTGGCTTAAAAGTGAGGTGTTATCTGCAAAAGAGAAATACCATCCGCGAGAAAAAGAGCGGAATACCGACACTCCAAGAATTCAAAAGAAGCTAAAACCGTTAAAAGACTGGATGATTTAAATATTAGGGACCTGTACGAGAAAATAGATGGTTTATTTTACGGCCCTGGAATAGTTGATTAACTAGAAGTTATAAAATATCGGTCATAATATGTTATGAAATGAATGTAAAATTTCGAAGCTTTTTGTTTCGAAACAACATTCTTTTAGTCGGTTTTGAAGAAATATCTGGAAATAATGAAGCAATCTACACCAAATTTGACGAACATGTTCCAAAAATATCTGCCTTTGAATGGAACTAAAAGTACTGTCGCATCTATAACCATTTTTTTTGAAGCAACAAAAGTTTCTTCAAATTTTGTACTAAATGCAGGAATTGTAGTATTTTTGAATTGTAATATGCTATTACTTTATTCCAGGAGTACTTTGATTAATCTAAGATGGCAAAAGGTAACTAATAGTTTCTTCTTTCCGAAATTATTATACTTTGAAATGAAGAACCTCCAAAAATTGAAAGACGTCACACTCATACTAATGATGTGGACGGGCGCGTAATCTCTCAACATATTTTACTTGTATAGGCGGGTCATTCGAATATCTGTGACATTGACTTTTTCTTTCGATGCGTGAATAACATATGTAGTTACAGTCTATTCCAAAATGATTGCTCTAAAAGATCAACATTTCCTCTTCCCTTGCTGCAATCTTCCTCTCTCTTTCTGGAGAAGAAGGATACGGAGAATATGTCTGTTAAAAAAGACCGCATCGGTCCTAATAGAGACGATCGGACCTCAAACCTTGCGACAGGGACTCGCCTTCAGGGGCTGTAGCATGCTTGTACGCAGCTACAGTATGGGTTCAGCGATTTGGGTACCCGAGCTTTGGGGAAGCTAGCAAGTCCTCACAGATATGAGAGTTAACCCTTTGCACTCGAGAGGTGATTCTCAGTCACCATTACGTTTTACGGAGCAAATCTACAATACCCAAAGTTTGTAGATTCAATTTCTTCGGAGCTCGACGTATCAATAAAATGA